TCAGTTAAAAATTTCTTAAAAAAAGGATGGTAGTTGCCTCGGAGGCCTAAAAAAGGGCCGGGGCCAAAAAAATTTTAAATACCTCCAATTGTGTAATCCCCCCTTCCCCCAAAAATAAAAAAATTGGCAATAACTGAGTGTTTAATTCGAAAAGGGGGCTTTAAACGAACACACGTATCCAACGAATTAAGGGTCTAGGGGTAGAACAAACCCTTTACGAAACCCATATTGACTAGGGGAGAGACTTTTGTGTTCTCTAAAAAACCACATTAAAAGTCGATTTACGAGCCCGTTCCACATTTTTGGCAAACTGCACTAGAAAGAGCGAGGGGGGAAAAGGGGGGGGGGGGGGGGGAGGCATCACGTCCTGAATTCCCCCGGTTTTGGGGAAAAGGGGGAACAAGGCCCAATTTCCCCCGGTTTGGGAGAACTCCTTGGGCCCAAATAAGATAAAAGTTTTGTAAGGGGGGCCAAAAAAGGGCGGGACCAAAAGAAAAAGTTGAAACCCAATCGAAAAAGAAGCGTCGGGGCCCTTTTTCCGTGACCCGGCAAGTTTAAGCGTTCCTCCATTTCTTGAAGTGTAAAAGGCCTTTATACTGTTTTTCTCTGAAGAAGGAAAGCCCAAAGGGTACTAACTCCTGGCAGACTTTGATGAAAGAAACGAAGGGCAAAATTTGGACCCAAGGGGAAATAGGGGACCAGATTGGGCCAATTTTCAAGGGGCAACGTCGAAGAGTTTGCTACATCAACACCAGCGACCCTTTTTAAAAACAGGACCCGGGGTCAGGAGAGAAATTAACATTTAAATTTTCCCCATTTTTTTCCCCAGACGAAACTCATAGAAGAAGCGGGAGGTGATGGGGGAAAACAGTCTCCCCCCAACAAGGGGCATTTAGCTTAAACGGATGACCGGCGAGCGACCCGCACGCTTTTTTCTTAAAATAAAAAATTTCTCCAGGGGGTTTCTTTTGTCCCGGGTCCCTCCCCCTGCAGAAAGTTTTCAAACGTACTGCACGACACAAGCAGGAGACCCCCAAAGGGCACGAAACCTTCGGGAGGAAGGGCCTGCCGGGAGGTTTGGGGTAAAAAATTGGGGAAGCTGCGGTAAAAACTACGTCGAGAAGATGGGGTGGGAAAGCTCATAAAATGGGGGATGAAGAAAGGAAACCCCCTCACTAAAAGCAGTGAGGTGGAGTAAAGATCCCAATTTCCCTCAAAAATTTCCAGCGAGGCTTTTGAAAGGGTGTGAATAGGAAGGGGGAAGTAAGAATGATTTGGAAAAGAAACGCGTCATGTAAGTCCCGGTAAACAGACCAGGGGAAGTCTATTTCATGGAGGAAAGCAGACTTATAATCGATCAGAAGGGATAGAAAGAGGGGTCAAAATGGTGGGAGTACCCTTTTAAAAAATGGAGGGGGCGAGAGGCGAGAAAAAACCTCCAACTGGATGCCAGGAGTCCCCCAAAGACCCCCCCCCCAGAGGGAAAAGGTGGGGCCCTTAAAAAACACCAAGTAACAGAAAGGGGGTTTTGGGAAGGGTAAAAAAAGGGAAATCCTGGGGATGGGAAAAACTCCCAGAATAAAAAGAGATATAAACAACATTTGTAAAAACCCCTTATTCAAGGGGATAACGGGCTTTAGTGTAATGCAGCGAGGTGGGACAAATAGTTGACAGTAAGGAATATCATTGCGTAGAAGGGCACTTTCATTAAAAAGGGCCCATCTGAGAAAGGGTCCAAGAATACCCTAAATTATAGCCCCGAAAATAGGTTGGAAAAAAGCAAAAGGTAATTTTGGTTCAAGTAAGCAAGCACCAACAGGGGAAAACCTGGAAAGCAACATCAAAGCTCACCCCCCAATTTCCCCTGAGGCCGCGGGTATTCCACTTAAATAGGCCATGATTGGCGATGAAGAAAATATCAGAATCGTAATAAAGGGACCTACGGACTAGAGGGGGGTTTTTGAAAAGTCCAAAAGGGGGTGGGGGCATTGGAAGACCCTTCAAATAGCGAAGAACGGAGCGTTTTCGAAGAAAAGGGGGTTTTGAAAAGGGGGATGGGAAAAAGAAAGGGAAAAAGGGAAATGAAACAGGCCCTTGAAGGTTTTGTCCTGCAATAAATTTTTTGAAATGGCTTCAAGTTTTTTCTAATTTTAAAGAGTATGGGGGGACCATATTGGGGATAGAAGGAGGAGGGGAGTAAAAATTGGGACAGTAAAAGGACTGTACCAAAGTAAAGGGGGAGGGAAGATTTTAAGGGACGGAGAAGAAGTGGGGGGGAGACAAAGAGGCAAAAAACCTGGAGGGGGCAGAAAAAGGGAGAAACTTTTGGGGGGGAAAGGGTGTGGAAGGCATAGAAAAGAGGAGGGGAGTGGGAAACTCCACACTTGAATAAGCCAAGAGAGGGGGAAAAACTAGGTCCCGAGACGAAATTAAAGTGTGGGGGTGGAAAAGGGAAGGAAGGGGGGAAAGAAAATTTGAGCAATGTGGATTTTTTTGGGGCTTTTTAGTAAGGGGGGATTGGTAAATTTGGGTTTTCATACGAGGTCCCTTTTCGATACTGGGGGTTGTGAGGAAGGGCGCGAAGAATTTAGAACCAAATGAGTTTTTTATTTGGGGGCGTCCCGAGCCAAAAGGGCAGCAAAAGGATTAGATGCCGTAGTGGCAAGGGAGGGGTAACAACAGAGGAGGCTGCAGAAGAAGGGACCCCCCGAAGTGGGGGATGTTTGGAAAAAACGAGAATAAGAAACACGGGGGAGCTCCCTTTGGGGGCGGAGAGGGGTAACTGCCATACAAAAAGGGAACCTCCTCTTTGAGGCCCAAAAAATTTCACGTTCCCTTTTAAATAGACCGGCAACGGGGGAGTTTGAAGGGTTTAGCTTCATTACAATAAAAGGGAAATGGAGTTGAAATGCAAAAATGTATTAAAAATGGTCGTCGGCACCACAGCTGGGCAAATTTGGCCCTAGATCTGGGAATAATTTTGCTGGGGGGACCAAAATGCCAGCAATTTTTTTCCCTTTTTGCGGTGTAGGTATCACCTTTCGAAATTGTAACCATGTCCCGCGACATATACAGAGGACGGAGTTCCGGGGGTTTTCAAAAATTAAAAAGACCACCTTGCAAAGGGGGAAAAGTCTTTTCCCCCCCCGGGCAGGAAGGACATAAGTTGTACTTTGAGGAATTGGGAGATCCTTTGGGGTTTTCCCGCTGTTCCCAAAAAAAACATTGCCAAAATAAATGGAAAATTTTGTTGGACTATGGTAAGAGGCAGAATGAAGTACCACACCAAAAATTGAGAGAAAAATGTTTTTCAAAAGTGCAGGAGTAGTATCAATATTTAAAGGAGAGAAAGATCATGACTTGGGCACAAAACTGGGGCAGTGGGCGATGTTTCATACCGCTCTTTTAAAAAGCATGAAAAAAAGAAATATCTCTACCAAAAAAAGCCCGGAGCGCTTTTCCAAAAACTATGGTCAAAAAGGGAAAGGGAAAAAAAGTAGGCTTAAAGTAAAGAATTTAAATTCCCATTGGGTTGGGGCCCCAAAAATGAGGGATGGAGAGGGGGTGCTTGACTTTTCGGTCTTTTCCGAGTAGAAAAGGGAAGGTAACCCAAGGACATCATCGGAGATTGACGTTGGCGTTTTTGGATAAGGGCCGGAGTTGGTCCGGCGTGAAATGGGGGGGGCTTCGGAAAAAACCATACCGTAGAGGGGGAAGCCCCGGAAGCATAGGCAAAAAAGGGGGAGTTCAGACAAATCAAAGGAGTCCCGTCCCAAGCCCCGGTACCTGAAGCAGGTGAGGAAACAGCACCACAAGAGGTACAGGGGGCCCCCCAGGTCCCCAAGAGTGGTCCCAAACACAAGGCAGGGTCAGAATGGGGTACGTATCAAGAAGGGGGCCCCGGGGGGAGTGGGGTTTATGAAAAGGGCTGCCATGGTTTTGGTTTCTCCTTTGCTTTTTTTTTTAAAAAAAAAAAGAAAAAAAATAAAAATAAAAAAGAATAAAAAAAGGGGGGGCGGGGAGGAAAAAGTTCCCCCGGGGGAATGAAAGGGGGCCCGGAAAAAAACCCTCCGCAAACCCCAAAAGGAAACCCCAACAACCCCTAGTAGCGCAGGCAAACAAGGAACCCCTTTCCATAAACCCCACCCTTTAAGCCAGTAAAAAACCCCAATTTCCCGGGGTAGCAACCTCACACTTCCGAGCTACCTCGGTTTGGGCAAAAGAGGGCGGGCCCGATTCCGCCACAAACATACCTCCTTTGGGCCCCCACCCCCCCGGGAAACCCCAAAGGGGGCCCTTTCCCAAAATAAAACCCGTCGCCCGAAAAAACACCCATAAAATACTCCGGGATCCCGGGGAGGTTTGGCCCTCCCCAGGGAATCCAGATTCCCAAAGGGGAAACAAAACCACCGCCAAGAACCTCAACGGGAATTTGGGTGGACCCCAGTTCCTTTCCCCCACCTAGGGAAATACGCCCTGTGGGAGAAATCCCAAAGGCCAAAAAGAGGGAAAGGGGAAAAGGGAGGGGTGAGGAGGAGGAGGAAGGGAAAGGAAAAAAGGGGGGGATGGGGGGGGATGGGATAGGGGGGGGGAGAATGGGGGGTAATTAAGGTTTCCCGGGCTGAGGGGAAGACCGACAAGGGGTTTTTCCCTTTTAAAAAAGAGCCCTTCCCCCCCCCAAAAGCCCCCCTTTTAAAAAGGGGTTTTTGTCTTATTCTAACAACCTGTCGGTATTTTATACCATTTTAATGTTCAGACGAATATTTCATGAAATAGCTCGTCGACTACTAATGGAAACCGCTGCCCTCAACACTATACAGTACTACAATCATGACGTCTTAAAAATATATAATTGTCTAGTTGATTAAATATTTTCAGAATCGTATCTTTCAGCAAACTCATTTATGCCTCGAAGCTTTGACAGTTTTATTGCACTGGCAACAAATACTTTGTTCACTGATAACCGGAAAAAGACGTAATCAGTTCGTACATAGCCTCACCTTTGCTGACAGTGGTGATAGAGTAGTCATGGTCAATAAACTGACCCATCTGCATAAACAGGAGATTGTGTCGAGTGTGAGCAGCAGAAGGCACGAGACTTGCCAGGAGACTGATGACCCGAGGGTTGGGCAGCAGGTCACCGTGTACTGACCTCGTCCTCATCATCTCTCCATCTCCACCAAGCAAAGTGGAAAAAGAGTAATTTGCTAAATTCGGGCAAATAGTTCATTTATATAATGCAGCAATTCTCAATAAATCATGTTCCCAAAATTACTAAAATATTCACTAAATTTATTAGCACTAAACTAATCTCCATCAACTAGAGGACATTAGATAGTTAATTGCCAGGGTTCATCACCACTTAAAATAACCAGTATCACTTAAACATAAAATTAATGTATAATCACTTTTTTCGAGGTGTATAAGCACTCTGGAAATTGTGAGACCTGTGATAAAAGCGGAAAGGCCTACCCCGCCCCCTTACACACAGCTGCACCGCACGTAACCCTCCCTCCCCACACACAGTTGCATCATTCAAAGTTCTCGCTAGCTAGGCAGCCTCACCATAGACAGGATTCAGTAGTCTAGTAAGAACTTGACCACTGGTACCATACTCTGGGTACCAAAGATTGTTGCAGCGACCAGACAAACTTCTGTACTTCACACTCTGGTTACACCACCTCAACACTTCCCTGCTCAGACGGAGAAAAATGTAAAACTCTTATTGATAATGGAAACCATTAATGTTACAACAATATCTTCAGTAACAATTTTTTTTTAATATAAAACTTTGTCTATCAACTTACAGGAAAGTTCTTCAGTTTACAGGTTAATACAAAAAATCATTTATATGAGCAAACTTGTCTCTACAAACATTAATTATTCTGCATATCTGACAGTCTGTCAACACCACAAGAACCAGTGTCTGACAGTGGTGTAGATATCTGCTGATACCCTTGTGATGGTTACTGCTTCTGTTACCCGCACTTGACAAGATTTTCCACACTTGGTCATCCTGCTGAGAACTACATTACCTAGATTTACGGTTGTTTTATAGCGTGTCTACCAGTCATGGATAGGAATGCACAAGGCTCTCCTCACCCTCTAGCCAATGGCGGCCTAGGAGAGGGGGGATTTAGGGGGGGGTAGAATACTAATACATTAGAAAACATTAAATTTACGGAAGAGATGCAAATGGCTGGAAAATGAGGCCTACAAGTACTGAGTTAGTACGAGTATCATGCTGCTCTTACTACTACACTGCCACTCAGAACTGTACCAGTGGCTCTTAATACTACCTGCCACTCAGAACTGTGTACCAGTGGGTCGTCTTTCTGATTACCACCATTCTGTTAAGAATATATTTTCCACTTTCTCCGTTATCAATTTATTATCGATGAATAAATGTCAGTCTTCGTTTGCTTCAGACTGCCCTCATCTAGTCTATGTTGATAACTGCTTGTACGAGTTCAGTACAGTATTTGTTTATCAAGTTGAACGAGGTTGCGAGTACTGGGCACAGTTTCTCCCTTACCGTACCCCACTACAATGTGTGCACTCGCTCATTTCTGTTTTCTAATAAAAAACATTTTGAGCTGACCCAGCAGTCTTTATAGATTAATACAGAGCCAGCATGTCGGCAAGGCTCTGCTAAACTGCTACCGCTAGAACACAATGTAGCAAGTTTAATAATGTACCTAACAAGTACTTATCCAGCTGGTTCTTGAACGACTATTAGCATTGCACTTACATTAGTTGGTAGTTTGTTTCCTGCTGTTATAATTGCTTACAACTTATGCTGTTCTATTCTACTAGCCTACTCTTTCAGCACCTCAAATAACTCGTGTTTGAATATCAAGTTATATCTTTCAAACTCTGAAGATATTTTCTCGTAATCTTCATTTCCTAAAAGAAAAGATCTTGTGCCTGGAGCTTTATTTTTAAGTTAAGGTGCGAGTCTTGGTTAATATATACGTCAAAATTCGACGGTGTATTCCGTAGCTGCCGCCGGCATCTTGCTGCTGCGGCAGCTGCATGGTAGTTTAAACCTACGTTGAGAGTTACTGTAAGCAGGGTAGAGCAGCTGACATGTGTCAAGTGATGCTATATCAGTTAACTTTTAATTAAAGAACAATATTTACAAGTTTTGATTGTGCTCGACCAACATTCTGCAGAAAAACTGATTTCGACATCAATGTGAGGAATGTGAGCAGAACCAGTGAACATGTACAGGAAGGCAGGATGGGAGAGAATTTAAATCTACATTAGTCACCATCAGCGATAACAATTCTTTAGAATAACTAGTTGATAGTTGCCAATACTCAGGATAGTTCAAAGACATTAGTGATCTCAATGACTATCCCTGGACTATTTTTCTCAAGTAATACTTAAATTCAAAAGTGGGTTAAATTAATTTAGTCAACCTCTCAAATTGTTTCAGAAATGCATGAAAAATAAGTATAGAAATCAAACCATATGTTAACAAGATATTGAGAGAGTCAAGGAATCAGGAGATTTATGTGATACAGAGATCAGCAGATTTTAGACTGAACAGAATGTGATTATCCACTTATCTGGTGTATGGTGGGTGCCACTTATATTGCAAGGGAAATTTTTGCCAGTTATCACTTGCTAATCAATGGAATATTTCGTCTAGGTGTAGTTAGCAATGCGCAGATCAATTTGGCAATAATACAGTAAAGGAGTTTGTCAACACGCAGGAAGTTGCAGAAGCCAGCAAAAATTCCCCGGCAATTGTATTGATACTCTGAAGTGATTCATTCGTTGGCAGCCACGAGGCTGCCTGGCCAGGTTAATACATTCATACAAGGTAGCTGTTAGATACCATGGTACCAGTCACTAACTTCTGGTAGGCCTTTGTGCTTAAATTTCAATGTAAACTAAGTACAGTTGTGGAAAACAATGTATTTTCCGAAAAATTCAGAGTGTATTTTTTATGAAAATTAGTGTAATACATTGTATTTAATAAAAATTAATTAGTAAATGAAAAAGACTCGAGAGGGAAGTTCTGCGCCTGCGCTGGGGGGCAGGGAGAGACGCCATTTTTTATTAATGTGATACAAACACGTTAATGTAATGCGTATAATTTTCGTCGCTCTAGGGGTTATATTGGGCTTAAAACCTCTCAAATAGGAGCTGAAATTGTTGGATGTGCAGTCCTGCATAATTTGAGCATTAAGCAGATGGACAAGACAGCTCCAGGAACCTCAGATAAGCTATCTAAATTGTGTTTGTAATTCTGGCCAGTATTATCATTAAAAATTTAGGTAGAGGGGGGTTCTGTATATGACACAATGTAATCTCCATACTAATTGGCGAGTGTTATAATTATAAATTCTCCTTCTGTTACATAAAATGTGTATATGTAATCATTAATTTTAATATACAGTTCACATGTTTATATTAAATTTTACCAGAATTCCTGATGATGTATATTTCATTTGCAATTAATATAGGTCAAGAGCAACTTGTGGATATGACAGTTGTAGGTATCGAAGGGGGACACTTTTTGCAACCTAGGCGTCTCAAAATTCCTACTTGTCTATGTAACTTTGATAAATAATAATTATCTTTGTTACCATTTACTGGTATGTACCTTATGAGTTACATCCAGGTAAATTTAAATTTCCACAACAGTTGTACATAAAAGGTTTGTGAAGTACAGCAAATTTGGGCAGACAAGCCAGTTTGTCTAATATTGTCGAATACTCAGAAGAAAAAAAATCTCTGTATAAGAAGTATACCAGGCAGGCAGGGCTTTGAATCAGCCGCCCCGCCGCTGTGTATCTCCATGGGGGAAATGGAACAGAATTCTTCGTCCGTAAGCCATGCGTGTCGTAAGACGAGACTAAAATACCAGGATCAAGGGGTTAGTAACCCCTTCTCCTGTATATATTACTAAACTTAAAAGGAGAAACTTTCGTTTTTCCTTTCAGGCCACCCCACCTTGGTGGGATACTGCCAGTGCGTAGAATTATTATTATTATAATCAAGGGGGAAGCGCTAAACCTGGAGGATTATACAGCGCCTGTGGGGGGGATGTGGAAGGCATTCAGGCTTAATTCGGGGAACTGGAGCACAGATCCAATTCCCTAAATCAAGAGCCCCTCACCAACATCAAGGAACCTTCCTTGAGGGGACCAGTGCGTAGAAAGAAGCACGTGTATCAGATGCAGCAAGACTGGTCACGCAGTCCTGGGAAATGGACTAACAGAACTAGAGTGTCTTATGTTAGAAGATGTAAGAACTGTTAGAGAAACTTGCTGAAAGCCTGCCCACTACCAAACATTCATTTCCTGTCAATTCTTTCATCGTCACAACTAAGATTTATTTGATTTAACTTGGTGTTTACTAGAGCTATGCTTATAATTATTGTATTAGGACATGATAGTTCCATAGAGGTTATACAACCACCTGAGAATGCTAGGTAAATAGGTTCGATCCAAGGGGAATGGTAACTGCCCCAGTTTACATTGACCCCATCAGCTGCATTGTTAGGGGGGGGGGGGGAAGGGTCGATATTCCCTATATTATTATTAAAAATAAAAAAAAAACGCTAAGCCACAAGGGCTATACAGCATTTGAGAGTTAGGAAGGAAGCGAGGGTTTTTGGGGGCAGCAGAAGGGGGCAAGGATGATCGTAGGTTACAAAAAAAAAGCAGGGCAGAGAATAGTTCGCAGGTAAAAGGGTAGCAGAGTTTGGGGTTTAAAAAGGGGTTTTGGGTTTATCAGAGTTTGTAAAAGTAAGTCAGTTGTTGTAAAAAAAGTCAATGAGTGGGGATAAAAGGATGGGTCTTTCAGTAGAAGGGAAGGTAAAGAGACCCGCTGGCGAAGTGAGGGGACAGAGGAAAATTTTTCCCCCCCGTGTCGTTGAAAAAGTGGGCGTCTAACAGTTTGTGGCGGGACTATAATGGAACCTGTCAATTAAACACAGAGGAGCAGGGGCCCCCAAACGGGTTATCCATGAGAAAGACAAGTTTTCCCCAATGCAAAAGACGGGAGAAAAGTGGTCCCCCAAACCTGGGGACATTGTGAAAAGGGAACGAGGGCCCTTTCGTCTATCGGTTTAAAAATAGATTGAATTTTTGTTCCCGGGGGCATAGTAGCCCAAAATTTGTTGCCAACGGAGTGAAGGGGGGTAGCTTTTGCAGAAAAATAGCCCTTTAAAGGGAAATTTCCTCTTAAAAATTGTAGGTCATGTCTGTGACCACGCAGCAGTGTCTGCCTGTTCATTCCCCGTGTACGCCCAAAATGACCAGGGACCCAACAAAAAAAAATATCTTTTGCTTGGTACAGATGCGGTATATCCAAAGGGGGGGGATACGGGGGGACAAAGGGGTTTGATTTACCCAAATTTCTGTATAGCCTGTAAACCAAAGGGGGCCTTTGGGAAAACCCAACAAATGAAAAAACGGGCCCATAGATCCCAAACAGATAAGTGCTGAAGGGAAGGGAAAACCCAATTCATCAGAAAAAATACTACCCGAATATAGTAAATGCCCTTGTCGGGCTGCCCGGGAAAAAACAATACTGCAAACCCCTCACCTTTAAAGAAGACTTAAAAGCCATCTGTTTTCACTGCAATGGCATGTGAGATGGAATGGTAAAGAAAAATTGAGCGGGGGAAGCGACCGTAGATTTTTGGGGCCTTTCGAGCAAGGGAGAGAGAGAGAGAGACTCAAAACAGCGGGAAATT